TTACAAATGAAGACGCAGATTTAGAAGGGTTAAGTCGCTTGTCCAAGGCCCCACAGTTAATAATGATGCAATAGAATCAGCATCATTATTCTGCTATGTTGCCTGTTAGGTTTGATACAATGCATGGTCTAAACCTGGGACCTTTGGCAATGGTACTCAGAAAAAGGAAAATGCATAGAGTTAGGATCCTGGAGAAAGTTTCCTCATTCTTCCTCCACTTTATTTGTTTGATCTCAAGAACAGTTCAAGACTGATAATACTCTAAGATAAAATATTCTTAAGGTTTTCCTTCTCTTCTCTAGAATTCCCAGGGCCGATAATAAAATAACCCCAAAAAATGACACTGGAGAGCTATATTTTACTTCTGAGGACAATAGAGATAAAACTTCTAATTAGCAAGCAAACATTTCTAAGGAGACTCTGAGGGATTCAGGGAGAGGCTTAAGGAATATGGTGAAAGCATCATAAGAGGTAAGAGTCTTCGGTCTTTCATTTGGCAGAACATCTAAGTCCTCTCAGCTGCAAGATTTCATGCCAATGCCCACTCCATGACCAAAAAGAGGAAGGGAGGGGAAGACAGGATGAAAGAATGAATGAATAGATGGAGAGAAGGAAATAAAAAATAAAAAATACTATCTCTTTCATGCAACGTGCCTTTTCTGGCTGTGTGTCTCCCTCAAATCCATGTTGAAATCCCAGTGTGATGGTATTAGGAGGCAGGTGATTAGGTCACGAAGGCAGTGCTCTCATGAATGGGATTAGTGCCCTTATAAAAGAGGTCCCACAGCTCCCTTGCCCCTTTCAACATGTTAGGCTACAAGAAGCCTCCAACCAAGAAGAGGGTTTTCAAATGATCATGCTGGCACCTTGACCTTGGATTCAGTCTCCAGATCTGTGAGAAATAAATTTATGTTGTTTATAAGCCACCCAGTCTGTGGTATTTTGTTACAGCAGCCTGAATGGACTAAGACTCTGGCTTACGAGAAGCATATAAAAGGTAGCCTACATTAATTAAATCTATAAAGTATGTACTACAGCTCTACTTTTTTCTACTTTCCAGAGGACATCCCTAATTTAATAGTCCCTCTTATGATTTTTCATTGGTTGATCTCCTATATTAGACCATAAACATTAAAGGCAGTAGAATCAACTTGAATGAATGCACGAATAAAGAGAGGGTTTTTCACTCAATTTTGTATCCTCAGCACTAAGCAAAGTGCAGCCTTTGAACAAACATATGCAACCTATCACAGAAGAGCCATATTCACGAAAAGCAGACCTGGGAGCACATCATAGGATTAAAACAACAGAGGCAGAAGTTTGTCATTGAGGATTGGGTCCAGGTGTGCTCATAAACCTTCCCAGGAGGCTCACCCTCATCATTATCGTGGTATTTTAAAAGGTCTATTTAGATGACCTTCTGCAAATACATTGGGATGCTAAGTGAGAGCTCCCTCTGTGATCTCAAAAACCATCTGTCTTGCCTCCAGAGACACTATTTATAGCAGATAGGACTGATGTGGTGTCAAGACCAAGTCCCAGAGGCTTAATTCCTCCAAAGACAGCAAAAATATCTGTTGGACACACAACAAAGAGGGCACAGAAACCCTAATTGGGAAGACTGGAGCAGATGCTAAAGAAGAGTCACCAGTATGCAGAAC